AGATTTTTTTTTAAAAATGAGATTTTTCTTCCAAAAAGTGATTTTTTTCAAAGAAAGAAATTTTTCTTCAAAAAGAAAGGTCTTTTTTCAAAGAAAGAGGTTTTTTTCAAAAAACAGATTTTTTCAAAAAAGAGATTCTTCCCCAAAAAAGAAAGGTTTGTTTTCAAAAAAGAGAGATTCTTTTTTCAAAAAAAGATTTTTTTCAAAAAAGGAGATTTTTTTTCAAAAAAATTAGATTTCTTTCCAGAAAAAAGATTTTTTTCTCAAAAATGAGATCTTTCTTCCAAAAAATGATTTTTTTCAAAAAAGGGATTTTTTCAAGAAAGGAATTTTTCTTCAAAAAGGAAAGATTTCTTTTCAAAAAAAGAGATTTTTTTTCAAAAAAAGACTTTTTTTCAAAAAAAAGGGATTTTTTTTTTCAAAAAAAAAGATTTTTTTCCGGGTTGCGAAGCTTCTCCCAAGTGCTAGAGCGTCCGGAAGTTCAGGTTTTACACAAAATTTTTTGGAAAAAAAGAAGATTTCTTTTCAAAAAAAAGACTTTCTTCTGTTCTGTGAAGCTTTTCCCGAGTACTAGAGCATCCAAAAGGTCAAGTATTACACAAAATTTTTTGAAAATAAGCTTATCAGATATTGCAATGATGGCGAAACAATCATACAGAGATATTGATGTTACGTCGAAGAACGACAAGAGCATGCTCAGACAGTTCAAAATTTCAATGGAAAACGCCAAAAATGCAGCAAAAGAGGTAGTGGTGCATTTCCTTAGTTGTTGCTGTGTAAACGAGAATTCAGTGTAAACCAGAATTGTCACTATAGTTTCGTTCTCCCGGAACGATGGTATAAAATGTTGTGAAAATTTTAAAAATACAAACAGCGAATATCTCTGGTTTACTTCAGCAATTGCGGTTCCGCCTACCAAAGGGTGCAAATTATTTATCAATTTAACCCACTCCATCAGCTCTATCCACTTGGACCGTTCACTTATGATTCGCCCTTCTAATGGCCGTTACTTATCATTTTTTTTCTCCACAAATTAATTTGCATGATTGTTATAGTTTTAAATTACCGATTTTTTTTTTTTTTTTGTTCAGCCTTCGACTAGTAAGCACAGCGATACGCAGCTACCGGATGATGGTGAATACGAGAATGATGATGACGATGAGGAACAAAGCTATATAGCAGAAGCAGCGAATGCAGATAACAGCTCCAGAAGGTGCGCCTTTTTTTTTTGAAATTTTCAGATTTTCGCAAATTTTTACAAATACGCCTTATTTAAATTCTTGGAATAATTGTTTAATTATTTCACGAATTTATAAAGACGCGCTAACATGGATTCTTGGAATGTTTCGGTGCGTAAATTCATATACATTCTTATTTGGCACAATTGGACCTCGTCAGTATGACTGTTTCGATGTTGATGTGTACATAAAAGGATGATGTAAAATAAATGTCTATGAATTTATATATTTCCAAATGAAAAATATTTTTTTTGCATTCTTTATGTGGAAAAAAAATTCTACATTATAGGAATCCATGGTTGTGGCAAAGGCCAGAAATTAGGAGCATTCTTGGGGATTTCATCAGCAAAGACATTACGTCACGAGCGGCTGCAAACAGAATTGCAGAAATAATTGGTCGCCGTGTATCGCATTCCACCGTGCTCAATTATGCCAACAAACTTCTGCGAGTATTTTTTTTCATTTTTTGGGGGTTTTTTTGGTACTCTCGTTGAAATACCTGTAACAGTGATCAAGTAAAGATGCGATACTTATGTGTGCTTGGTGGTCGTTGTGGCGCGCTGGCTAGCAAGAGGCTTTATCTTTGTGTGTAACAAGTACCATATGTATATTATCGGAGAAAAAAAGGAAATCTCATACACAAATCATCGAGAAGTACGATTTATTACGAGAGCACAGCCAAAATATGGGTGTGAGGAGGCCATCGCAAAAGTCGATTTTTTTAGTCACATAGCACAAGATAAGGCGAGCGGAGGGTGAGACTGTTTCGATGATTCCGCTGATTTCATGAC